CTCTTCCACTCTGCACCTATGTGGTATGCTTCTTTCTCGTCACTCTTCTGCCCCTGAAATGGAGGCCCTAGATTTCACTAGATTAATAAGCCCTAAAACTGGACCTTGCAGACGCTAATTTAGATGCTGTCATTTCTCTGTTTTAAATGCTTCTTTCTTTGCACTGCATCAATGTCATGTTAAAACCACAATTCTGAGATCTGGCACTGCATCTCCTACAAAACTCCATTTTGGTAGCAAGCAATTTGTACCTGTGACACCAAAACTTGCTTAACTACAAGTCCTACAGCAGCAGCCAAGTCCCCATGAGGTTCTGCTCTTCATAGGCAGAGCAGGGGAAAACCTTGAACTAATCCATGCATGTCTGTCACTGACCTCCTCCCTTTTTCCAGAAAGGACTCTGATTTTTAAAAAAATGTGGTGTCCGTGGAGGTGGGTTAAACACTAATTTCCAGCTCACATTTCAAGAGGGAGTTTCTTAGGCTTTCTCAATTTAGTAAGCCGACATGGGGCTGTTTAACATTTGTTCTCCATCTGATAATATCCAGTCTCAAACTGCCTATTCTCTCTAAAATTGAAATTCCACCAGTATTTATTAAGTGCCTACTGCATGCAGAGCAGTGTACAGTTAAACATAAGAAGCTATGACACAGAACATAACAAAGCAAAAATTTAATACATACTCCATTTTATATGTAAATATTTTAATTATCACTAATATAGACTAATGACACTTTCCATCACCAGAAATGTAAGAAAAACAAAACCTATATTTAAAAAAAAAAAATCCTTGCTAAGAAACTTAAAACTTATTGCTGTTTTAGTTCTTGTTGTATGAAACTTGACAAACTAATGCTAAAATTCTTCTAGAGAGTAAATGTGGAAGAAAAGCTGCATCATTTCTTTTTTCTTTTTGTTATAATTCTGCCTTTTTCCTATTACTCTGGATGACCTGTTTCTGTTTCCATCTAGGGTCAACTCTACCATTTGCATACTATCTATTATTCTTTTTTTGCCTATAAAGAACTTTGTGCTTTCTCCTGCATAATTGTATTTTTCCTTCATCCCTGTTAGCAACTACATATGCTATATCTTAAGTCTTTTAAAAAAAAATCCTTCCCTTATCTTCCAGGTACCTTCCTGTATCTCTGCTCCCTTTAACAACAAAACTTTCCCAAAGCATTGCTTATATTAACTGCCTCCAGTTCCTCTCCTCTCATTTTCTCTCTTTTTAAAAAAATACTAATTATTATTTTACACTCTAAGATGCTGTTATGGAGCAGTTGGGGGGAAGGGGGAGAAGAGAAAGGGGTGAGAGATAGTGTGGGAGGAGGGGAGGGGCTTGGCTGAAGCCTGTGGCACCCCCCTCATCCTGGAAGGGGAGCCCAGGGCAGTTTCAGCAGAGGCTTGATGGTTGTTGCTGGGCTGGATGCGGGTGTTCGGAGTGTGTGGCTGAGGCTGTCCCCCCACCCTGGCTTAGGATCCTGGGAGACTTCTGGTCCTTCTAGGTTTTATATGTGTTCTTTGGGGTGCTAGACCCTTACTGGTTAATATCAGAACTTTGTCTCTGATCTGTGGGATTTTTATGTTTTCTTTCAGTTCCGTGTTGGATTGTTAGCTATCCTCACCACTTAAGCTCTGCACTGGAACTAATTTGTTGTCCTTTGCTTACTTCTAAAATGGGGAACTTCCTGTGGGAACCAGCACTTGGGCCTGTGGTTGAGTTAAATCGCTGTTTTGCCACTGATTCCCTGGGAAGGCTTTTCATGCAGCTCAGATTTCAACTGCTGACCTTGTAAGTACTTCCAGGTCTTGTGAGGTCAAGTACACCTGGGTTGTATGGAAACTCTGGTCTGGGCCTGAGTCTTTTCAGCAAACTGCACCCCCTGCAGTTCTATATTCCTGACAAGTCTCCATTGACTGGTACTGCGCTGATTGGGGGGCAGATCAGCTGTCCATGTTATGCCCTGATATTCCCCTGGCAGGCCGTCTCCCCCCCACCCCCAACTCCAAACACTTCCCATAGGGTAGGCCGTGCACTGGTCACTTGCAATGACTTGCTGGCCTCTGAGTGGCTCCTTTTTTCCATGTCTGTGGCCCCTCACTCCTATGTGGGTCCACGGGAACACTGTTAGTGGTCTTGCTGGCCTGGGGGCCACCAAGGTCCTCTTCTCCCTTGCAGCTTCCAAGCAACTTCACACGAAGGGCACAGATGTGGTTTTTGCCAGCTCTTGCTCCATATGCTCACCAGGGCCAGCCCTGAAGTGGCTGGGGCTCGAAATGGTGGGAGCAATCCTTTCTTTCTCTCATTGTGGCTTCTCCTGCCTTCATGAACTCCACAGATCTCTCTTCCTCTTCCCCTGAGCTCTAGCAGCCCCAGCTTGGCAGTTGTTGCTTTTTAATAGTTGTAAACTGGTTGATTGTGGGAGAGGGTGACACTGGGTACCATCTATTCTGCCATCTTGATTGGAAGTCTCTCCTCTCATTTTCTCTTGAACCCACTTCATTCAAGGCTTTCTTTGCCACAGCTATCATGAAATAGCTCTTGCAAGGATATCAGTGACCTCCATGTTATTAAATCCAGGGGTCACTTTTCTTCTTCCTCAACCTCAGTTTTTTACTTATTTGATTATTCCCATGTTCTTTAAACATTTTCTTCACCTTGAGTCCAAAGGATATTACATTTCTCTGGTTTTCCTTCTACCTCATTGACTGCTTCTTCTCAGCCTTCTTTGCAAGTTCCTTCTCATCTCCTTGACCTCTAAATGCTAAAGTACTCAAGGACTCAGTCCTTGGATATCTTCCCTGTCATACCCATACTCATCCTCTAGTTGACATCATCTATAGGCTGACTCCCAAATTTATATCTCCAACTTGGACTCCTTTCCTGAACTCCAGACTCACATCTGTTTTAATATCTCCCCTGTCATACCCATACTCATCCTCTAGTTGACATCATCTATAGGCTGACTCCCAAATTTATTATCTCCAACTTGGACTCCTTTCCTGAACTCCAGACTCACATCTGTTTTAATATCTTCAATTGGATTTTTTTCTTTTATTTTTAATATGTATATTCAAAATGTGTTTATTGAAGTATCATTTTTGAAAGGAGGAAAAAAAACAAGACTGAGGATGAATTTTCCCAAATAGCAAAATAGAATGTGTGCTATAAGGAATAAAATACACTTTCCTAGTCTGGAAGACTTAATAGTGTACATATTGCAAAATGACATATCCTTCCAAATTAATCTATAAATTCCATGTAATTTCAGTTAAAAATATCAATGGTCAATATTATCAATTCTTACATGTATTAGAAGTAAGTTTCTTATAAAGAACTGCCAAAAGGATCACTTGAAGGGGGAAGTCCTGATCAGAATACTACCTAAAATAGTTCTGTGGTAGTATTTATTTAAATCCCTAGGAAAGAATATAAACTTAGTTACTATAGATTTTTTTCCTAAAAAGTTACTTGTAAATCAAACTTCCAAATATCTTATCCTACACAAGATCTAAAACTGTAGATTACCATTCATTCAAGATCAAATGCTTAATTTTATGGTACAGAGAATGCTGGACTGGCTCCGAGAGACTTAGGATCTGGTCCTAGCTTGGCCATCAAAGCTTAGCTTTTATCTTTAGGTAAATCACTTAATCTTTCTGGGGCTAAGTTTCTTTGTCAATAAAGTGAAGTTGAACCATTCATCACTTGGAAAGCTTTATGATCTTAAGATATTTCTTTAATTCACAAGTCTTTGTCCACCCAAACTCCTATATATAAAGTTTCTGTATCTCCAATAATTAGCCAACGTTATAATGAGATTTACTGGTTTATTTTGCCCCACAACAAAAGGTCAGAGTCATCTTAATAATCCAAAAAGATTTTCCAAATCTTTATTAATTTCGGAGAGAAAACTGGCAATTTTAATTTATTTATTTTTGGTGGCTGGCTGTACGGGCATCCAACCCTGGACCTTGGTGTTATCAGTACCACACTCTAAGCAACTGAGCTAACCGGCCAGCCCAATTTCTTGAGAGAATTCAACTTAAAAATATTATTAAGAGATTGAGGTAGGTTGATCACCAATCCTAGATTTCAATAGCATCTTCCATGGGGCTACAGTGAGCATTTGTGGTGTTACAGTATATTCCTTGCTTTATCTGTGATTTTTATACTGCCAAAATACTATAGAAGTAAAATTTCCTGTGATGGTCATAGGGAATGAAAATGACATTTAATCTTGCTCTCTATTATCAACGCCTTCAAGATACTATTTTTAAGGAACACTTTATTTATCGAAGAATTCTAAATAATTGCCTTTACAAATACAATAACATAAATTAAAACGGATATGCATTAACTACCTCAACAAATTCTCCCAGCTTTCTCCTGAACTACTTTTTAACAAAAGTAGCATCTTAAATTTACCATTCTGTTATCACAATGGCCACTTATGATAAATTCTTTTATAAAAATTAATTTTAATTTAGTCCCAAAGGGTCTCTAAGAAACAATTTTAGCACTCCACTCAGTGGGTCTTAGGTCCATCCCTGAAACATATTGGAGTCTACAATTCAATTTTCAGTTTGAAAAAAGTACAAAAATAGGTAGTCAGGCAGGGATATATGCAGCCATTCATTTTTTTCTGTATTTATTCTATAACAACCAGAAATTAAACATGTTTGTACAAATACCTCTTGAAATCCAGCTTGATGCCTTTGTTGCTTTTGATAACTTCAGCCAGCCACTCCTGCAGAGTGTTATCACTGTTTGTTTCAGGAGGATGGGCCATGATTGGCTGGCTGTATTCTGAACCATCACTTGGAAGGAGGACATCAGCCTCTAACATGTGAGCAGTACCTGTCCAAATAAAAGAACTTAAGTTAATGCTGATAAAAGGGGGCAGAACTGCAGGAAATGCCAAATCCAGTGTCCTTTTGAAGAAGATAAAAGGAAGGAAAGAAAACTAACACTTACTGAGTAACTACTACATGCCAGGTACTGTACTTATATGTTGCCCTTATTTTTTACAAATGAGCAAACAAGTGTCAAGAAGCTAAATAACTTTCCATAAGTCACATACGTCTTAAGCTGCTGTCATACTATGAATTTCTTCCCAGTGCCTAGCAAAGTGAGTATATAAAAGGAGGCTTAATCAGTATTTGTTGAAGCTTTTCGGGAATAAAATAGTACTTTTATCTTTTCATTCCTCACATCAGAAACTATGGATATTTATTGCTCATGCTACATTAAAAATTCAATTCTTTG